TTTTTTTTTGAACGAAAGTTATGATTGAACCTCCAAGGTCTTTTCACCTGTCAAATATGGGGGATTGGGGATTGGGATTGGAATTTGGGGTGCAAATCACAGACCCCCAAAGTGGGTTTTATCCATTTCTTTGGTTCTATTGGTGGACAAAAGCAGACAAGATTGAAGAATGGGTTATCTTGCAATCTTGAACACCACCAAATCCCCAATATTTATTCTCATTTAGAAAAATATTTTATGGGCAAATTTTGCTTAAAGCTCGTTTTTTATTGCCTTATTGGGGTTATTGGCGTTAGGTGGGTTGAATTTCGAGGATTCATTGTAGCCCACCAGTTTTTAAACAAATTGCATTGCCTTTTTGGTGGCTTTTTTTTTTTTTTTTTGAGAGTGATATAATAGGAGCTAAGTTTTATTAATAGGTCACGTTTCTATTTATATTTTATATATTATTTTTTTATGATTTATATTTTTTATAATTTTTATTTTTAGTTAATTTTTTTATAATTTTAATTTTATTAAAAAAACTTTAAATTATTAATAAAATTAGGGTGTAAATAAAAATTTTAATTATTAATTTTAAATTTTTTTTATGAAGTTTAAATTATAAAAAGTATTGATCAAAAATAAAAATTTTAAAAAATGTTGATCATAAACAAAAAATTTAATGTCTATAATGCAAATAAAGAGTTTAACCTTATTAATATAAGAAAGAATTGAGTTGAAGTTTCTTTTATTTAGCTATTAAGGTATTTTAAGATTAATTTACATGTACTTTTCAAAACTATTATCTTTTTATAATTTAGTAAAAAATAGGTTATTTATGTCAAAATTAAGAAATTTATTAAAAAAAATTATTTTTTTGTTAACCTTTCTAAAAAATTAAATTTTGGTTAATAAAATGAAAAATAAGGTCTCTTATTAATTAAATTATAACTCTTTAAGTGTGTTAAACTTTTTTTTTTTTTACAAGAAGAAATGGTTAGATTAAGTGTTAGTATCTATTACTTTGTAGAAAGATTAAATTTTGAAGTTAGGTGCATTTCACCTGCTACTCAATGAGCAGCGTGACCACTACTAAACTACATGGGAAATTGCTAAGTGTGTTAAACTTTATTATATACAAACAAAACAATAAAATATCAATCCTATAACTAGTGTAGTTTTTACACATCGGTTATAAACTTAACTTTATTAAAACATTTATGCAGAACGTGTTAAAAAAAAACTAATCTCTATTAAGAATATGAAGAAAAATTAAAGTCATGTAGATACTTTAAAATTTCAAAATTATTGGTTAAGCTTCCTAAGTAAGGATCAAAACCTCAAATTTAGATGGATGGAAAACAGGAGTGTTTGAATCAAAGAATTGAAGGTCGCAGAGTCAGCCTCTCATTAGGAGGAAAGCATGCAAGGAAAACCTTGGACAATTAGGTTAAAACGTGACCCTATTATAATGTCTAACTTAGACTTGATCTCCCTACAAATGACCTTTTTCATATTTTTTTTCCACAATCCAACTTTTTAGTTGAATGCATGTAAATGAAATCATTACTCGATTTGAATCTTTAACCATATGCAACCAAATACAGAAGAATTAGGTTCCTATTGAAAATTGAAAATTTCCACCACCCCCCCACTCCACTTGTCAAACATCATCATTGGGCCCCCTTGCTCACGTGTCCTGTTTTGGCCCCACCACAACATGAATCCAACTCAATTCTATACTCTTAAACAAAACAAAGTCTGTGAAAAATACAACATGGGGTTAAGTAATTATTATATTAAAAAAACTTGATACCAAATAATTATTAAAAGAAGATTATGCAGAGTACAATACAAAGTCTTTTAGTACACAATATATGCATAATACATATATAAATCACAAGAGTGGAATCTATATCTTTCAAAATTATGGCCTTTAATTCTAATTATTAAATGTAATTTTAAATTAAAAATATTAACAAAGAGTATTTTTTTAGATTGGATTACAATTTTTTTTTGATATTAAACTTTTGATATCTATAAGTCACATTATACTCGATGAATTTAAAATTAAGTTATGTTTGGATCCTATAAAAGAAGAAACTTTCTCAATAATTTTATTTTTTTCATAAAACTTGAATTTCTTTTATTCGGATTTACAAATTATAGGCATTGAACCACAAAATAAAACTGTAATTTGAGTACTAAATGATTATACTATAGTTATAATATCATTTAAAATTATAAATTTATAATTATAAATATGTAATTAAATGAGGTTAAGGTATTATTAAATGAATAAATACATATAAATTAAGAATGAATCATTGAATAAAAAAATTAATTGTATATCAATATACTATCTTATAAATTTATAATATTATAATTATATTAATTTCTATTACTACAATATTATTAAATATATATATATAAATATTATTAACAAATTAACATAAAATAAAATTTTATTAAAAATATTTTAATAAATATATGAATCAAACTACACTTTCTATATAAATATTATTAACAAATTAACATAAAATAAAATTTTATTAAAAATATTTTAATAAATATATGAATCAAACTAC